TCCAGCCCCCGGGGGCAGGTGGCCTGTTCCTGGGCCGCCCGCACCTCCTCCAGTGCCTGCGCCCCCGCCGCTCCCGGTGCCTGGGCCGCCTTTGGGTTCGCCTGCGCCTAGCACCGGGTCGTCCTTTTTGGGACAGAGGCCGAAGGCCGTGGGGAAGCCGTAGGGATGAGGGAAAAGAGGCGGGGGTAGCTTCTGCAAGAGGCCAAAGCCCTTGCTGGGCACTGGGATCACCGGGTAGCTACGTACGCCGGCGCCGCCACCAGGCCCTCCAGGGCCGGCGGGGCCGCCAGCTCCCGCTGCCAAACCAAGTCCCCGTTGCGGGTGGGGAGGAGGCGGCCCAGGAGGCCCGGTAGACTCATCTTCGCCACAGCGCAGGCTTTTGTGGGGCGGCGGGCCTGAGGCCATCTCGGCACCGCACCCTGGGCCTCCCCCGCCGCCGCCGCCAGCACCACCTTTCCCTTGCCCACCCGACCCTCCATTAACGCCACCGCCACCGCCTCCTTGTAGCGAGAAGGTCCGCTTGCGCGTGCCGCCATTGAACATGGCCTTGACGTCCTCCCAAGCGTGGCTCAGTTCGTCTGTGGCCGATTTGTCACTGAGTTTAAGGTGACGGCGCCACGAGTTGAAGTTAGCAGCGTCGGGCTGCGTATACTTGGCGTCAGGTGTGCGGTGCGAGTGGAAAATGAACTTGTTAGGCGAAAAGTACATGCTGCAGTAGCCGCACTTGATGCACTTGGCACGAGAGCTGTTGTAGCGCGCGGGGATGAAGCTGCCACGCGAGCCCCACGCACACTCATGCACCACATCGAAGGCGAAGTTCTCAGGCAGCTTAGGTGGCTTGTGCTCTCCCAGGAACGACTTGCACAGGCGTTCGGCCTCGCGCTTCGTGATCATGCCGCAGCGGCGCGATGAGATGGGCATGGCCCCGGCCCGACGCAGAATCTCCAGCTGCACTGGCGTGCATTGCACACACGTGATGCCCAGAGCCACGCGGCGGTTGTGGATCTCATTGTAGCTGTAGTTCTTGAGGAGGGTGTTGGAGATCTGCGCCAGGCACAGGCGCTCCTGGCCGTCGATGACCAGAGACACGATAGGCACTCCGTACAGCGACGTCTCGCCCACCTGATTTGGTTTGAGAGCGCTGGAGCCCGAGTAGGGCTGCAGCTCCTGCTTAGAATTGGGCGAAGAGTTGCCCTCGCGCCCCGGCCCCAGCTGAGTGGTGAGAGCCTCCATGCCGCCGCTCCTGCGAAACAGAGAAATCAGAGAGCAGATGAGCCATTTTCAGCGCCGCCGCGGCTCGGGCCCGCCCAGCGGGGCGCGCCGAGTCGGGCGCGCGGGGGAATCTTGGCAATGGGGAGTCCAAGCTCATTCGCCCCCTGGACGGGCGCCTTTTGTTATTCAGACGCGTGCTGGCGCCGGAACAAAAGCCCCCGGGGTTTGGGGGAGGAGAAGAG